ACTCCTGCGAGTCCCCTGGACTGCAAGGCGTTCAAACCGGTCAGTCCTAGAAGAGATCAACCCCGACTGCTCTTTAGAAGGCCAGATCCTGAAGTTGAAACTGAAATACTTTGGCCACCTAATGAGAAGGAAGGACTCACTGGAGAAGAGCCTAATGCTGGGAAAGATGGAGGGCAAGAGAAGAACGGGATGACAGAGAATGTGGTGGCTGGATGGAGTCACTGAAGCAGTAGGCGTGAGCTTAAATGGACTCCAGAAGATGGTAGAGGACAGGAAGACCTGGAGGAACGTTGTCCATGGGGTTGCAATGGGTCGGACACGACTTCGCAATTAACAACAACGTTAACATATGGTGCCGTAATGTAGTTGTAAGGTTTAATGCCTTGACTGTATACCTCTCCTTCTGCCATGTCGTCTTCCACGCCTCCTTCCAGATTTACCCCCACGCCCCTTCCTCCGTCGACGCCTGCGATGGATGCGAGTTAGGCTCCAACTCCTGCTGCGTCTGAAGCTGGCCATTTCTGATGGTCTTGTTGTTTTTACAAGGTCTTAGCAGCTGGAGCTCCACCTGTCTTAGATAGGCCTTTCAGATTTCAGACGCAGTGGCATCTCCCGTCATTTCACAGCTCAGCTTCGATGTGTAACAATGACTAATGATGTCATGCTTTCCATTGTGATGAAACTCAGTTATCTGTTGCATATATCTGAGCAAAATAATCTGCTCCTGTTTTACAGAGATAAGCCAGGAGATGCTATTTGTCCATGGGGTTTATAGTATACTTGAAAATTATATCACAGTTTGCATTTTAATATCTACTTCTCAAGAAATCTGAAATTATTCAATTACTTTCCTGTGTGAGTGTTCAGTTAAATTAAAGTTCAAAAAGATAGAAGAGTTAAATATCTATGTGTCCCTTATTATAAATACAATTTTCCTTTAAATTGTTTTTTTTTTAATTCCTGTTGAAAATAATAAGATGGCTCGCTATCTATTTCATATGCAAAAGCCACTGCACTGACATGTTTTTTCTTTAGATTGGTAATGGACAATGTCCATTACATATTTCAAAAGAACAGGGTGGTATATATTAGCATGGCATCTCCCACAGTACATAGCAACTGATATTTGAAGTAATAGCCTCATCTTGGCTAGTGATCAGGACAATCCAGCTTTTTTTTTTCATAATGTGTATTTGTATCCATAGTTGGATTACAGAATAATAGGAGTTGGAAGGACCTTGGAGATCTTCTATTCCAAATCCCTGCCCAAGCAGGAGACCCTATATCATTCCAGACAAATGGCTATCCAGTCTCTTCTTAAAAACTTCCAGTGATGGAGCACCCAGAACATCTGGAGACAAGCCATTCCACTGTTTCATTGTTCTTGCTGACAGGAAATTTCTCCTTAATTTTAGATTGGATCTCTCTTTACAGAATAACAGAATCACAGAGTTGGAAGGGACCTTGGAGGTCTTCTAGTCTAACCCCCTATTCTGGTAGGAAACCCTATACTATTTCAGACAAATGGTTGTCCAATCTCTTCTTAAAAACTTCCAGTGTTGGAGCATTCGCAATTTCTGGAAGCACGTTCCATTGGTTAATTGTTCTAACTGTCAGGAAGTTTCTCTTTAGTTCTCGGTTGCTTCTCTCCTTGATCAGTTTCCATCCGTTGCTTCTTGTCCTGCCTTCAGGCGCTTGACTCCTTTGTGATAGCCCCTGAGATATTGGAAGACTGCTATCATGTCCCCCCCCTCGTTCTTCTCTTCATTAGACTAGACATACCCAATTCCAGCAACCGTCCCTTATATGTTTTAGCCTCCAGTCCCCTGATCATCTTTGTTGCTCTTCTCTGTACTCTTTCCAGAGTCTCAACATCTTTTTTACATCGTGGTGACCAAAACTGGATGCAGTATTCCACGTGTGGCCTTACCAAGGCATTATAAAGTAGTATTAACACTTCATGTGATCTTGAATGTTAGTAAGAAGAAGAAAAAACCCATTCCCTACGTGCACCAATGCTGTTACCTAGTTTGGGTCATGAAACGTCTGCAAGAAAACAGCCCAGCTAGGCTCATCTTTCCCCTTAAGTCCTCAAGCCTCAAAACTATATGATGGGTTAATTCAGCCCTGGGGAATTTTTAATCACAACCTCCATTAAAAGAAATCATGAATTAACCATCCCCTCTGACCCACACCTTGCAGATACTGTCTTGAACAACCAGGTGAGCAGGGAGGTAGGCACCCAGGTATGTTTCTGCTGAGGAAGGTGCAGGTGCCTAGATACCCACCCTTAAGTCATGGCCATGTTCTGCCAGCTGATGTTTTAATAATAATAATAATAATAATAATAATAATAATAGTAGTAGTAGTAGTAGTAGTAGTAGTAGTAGTAGTAATAATAGTAAAGTTGGAAGGGACCTTGGAGGTCATCTAGTCCAACCCCCTGCTCAGGCAGGAAACCCTATACCATTTCGGACAAATGGCTCAGGTCAGAGAAGAATTTTTGGAGGTCACAACCTCGTAAGTGGCGAAGACCTCCGTCCAACAAGGTGACCAATTAACAAGATTGACAGTCCTTCAAAGAGGAATCAACTAGGTTGCTTCTCTCCTTGATTAGTTTCCACCCGTTGCTTCTTGTCCTGCCTTCAGGCGCCTTGGAAAATAGCTTGACTCCCTCTTCTTTGGGGCAGCCCCTGAGATATTGGAACACTGCTATCATGTCCCCTCCTCGTCCTTCTCTTCATTAAACTAGACATACCCAATTCCAGCAACCGTTCCTTATATGTTTTAGCCTCCAGTCCCCTAATCATCTTTGTTGCTCTTCTCTGTACTCTTTCTAGAGTCTCAACATCTTTTTTACATCGCGGTGACCAAAACTGGATGCAGTATTCCAAGTGTGGCCTTACCAAGGCCTTGTAAAGTGGTATTAACAATTCACGTGATCTTGATTCTATCCCTCAGTTAATGCAGCCTAGCACTGTGTTGGCCTTTTTGGCAGCTGCAGCACACTGCTGGCTCAAACGAGACTCACAAACCCTGATTTAATACTTCACCCCATTGTGTAAAGGTTCTCCATCTACCTGTCCAGTATGTGATCATTTGTGTGGCTAACAAAGTGGGATCTCAGGTGATCTACCCAGGGTTGTTGTTGTTGTTGTTTTCCAATCCCAGGATACTGTCTTAATTTTTTCCAACATCAAAAGCCAGGCCTTTTGTAAGCTGCCCAGAGTCGCCATGAAGTAAGTTGGGCAGCTACATACATTTTCTTAATCCAGGTGGTCCTTCACTTACAACCATTCAGTAACCATTTGAAGTTAACACCGGCCCTGAAAAAGTGATTTATGACTGTTTTTTCACACAAGAATTGCAGTACCCCCGTGGTCACGTGATCAAAATTCGGATGCTTGCACTGTCCCGTGGTCACGTGATCCCTTTTATGACCTTCTGGCTAGCAACAACCGTGTTACTAACTGAACAACTGCATGACTTGCTTAACAACTATGACAAGTTGGGTCCTAAGATGCATGGGGCAAAATTCACTTAACCGCTGTCTTGCTTAGTAACAGAAATTTTGGGCTCAATTGTGGTCGTATGTCAAGGACTACCTGTGAATAAAAATAACTAAAAAAATCAGTGTCTTTGGGATGAAAGAGTAAAAATGTCCCTTCTTTCCTGTTTTTCTATGTCCTTACTCCTATAGCTTAGTACAAGAGAATGCAATGTAATCTAAACAACTGAGTTAGACATCAAACACTGCCACAACTATCTTAACCACAACTGTGTCATAATGTAAGCAAAAATTCTTCTAATTAATGTTATGGGAACTGTGGCTGTGGGTGGATGGTTGAAGTTTACACTCCCTGCATTTTCTCATTGTTTTATTTCAGTATCTAATTCTCATGATTTAACGAAGGTGGTTCTCCAGATCCGTAACCAATCACACGGATGGGATGGGAGTATATTATGGGATACAGCATTATGGGATGCTCAAATATTATGGGCTAGAGAACCTGGTCATTTGAAGAGAGCTTGAAGGTGGTCAGGCCAAGTGTATGTATATATATATATCAGGCTAAAAGCATTTTGTTCTAATTTTTTATGATAGTATAATAGCTTGCAAAGTTTTTCCATTTCATCATCCTGTAGTAATGTAAATAGAGTTGATTTATTAAACCATGCAGGAAAGTTCACTGAACTTATGCCAAAGTAGTGCAAAGTTCGTAGGAATGCTAAAACGGCACTTTTCACACAGCCTTCTAAATTGTATTTAGAAATATCCAAGGCAATATCTGTAACTAAAATTGTGTTTATATAACGTATTGATTGATTGAGCTTTATTAAGAAATGTATTAAATTGAATATGATATAATAATTAAGGGAAATAGAGAGGGAACCTCTAATGATCTAATTTTTGATTTACATGAATGACGCTGTTACTGGACTATGGATTACCCTGTCTCCACGGTGTTTCCTAATCACTTGGCTGTAAAAAATTGAAAAATTAATAAAACTTGATTAAAAAAAGAAAAGAAAAGAAATATGCAAGGCTGAGGTCAGAAGTTATTAAAATGCATTATGTAATTACTACACTTCTGGTAAAGTGGGATGACACAGCCCCCCCTACACAGTGAAATAGGCAACTCATTGTCATAAAGACATAAAATAAGTCTTCAGCCAGAGCAGTGTTTCTCAACCTTGACAATTTTAAGGCATGTGGACTTCAACTCCCAGAATTCCACAGCCAGCAATGCTGGCTGTGGAATTCTGGGAGTTGAAGTCCACATGCCTTAAAATTGCCAAGGTTGAGAAACACTGAGCCAGAGGTTGGAAGGGTCATCTGTCAAAAAATGCTCCTACACCAAACAGAGGGTTAGGCTAGATGACCTCTACAATCTCTTCCAACTATGTTTCTGTGAAAAGGTTCTTCAGCAAGATGAGTTAGATCAGTCAGTCTAACTCATGTTACAGTTTAGTCAATAAATGAGAAGGCAGAAATATATGTTTATTTTAAAATATATTTAAAACCATGTTTCACAATCATGTAGAAGCTACGTTCTTTCCCCATATATATAAATTTGCAGGCTGATGCAGTTCTGAAGCACCATTTCCTTGTAAAACAATCCCTTTGCAATTCATAGGATTTGGATTGGATTATGAAGTCCGGAACACAAATCGTTGCCTTTTAGCATCGTACTTTTTTTCCACCTTCATTTTCAAAAGAACTTTTCTTCCATCATGAGCTGAGAGAAAGAGCTGAATGTCATTAATATTTTTTTTCTTATGCACATAATGTATAGAGAAGTCTTCTTTAAATTGTCTTGTGAATGAAATCGGTGTATGGCTTTAGTTCACCATTTTCAGCTATCTTTCTCCGGTCCTCTTAGTTTTGGCTTTTCAAACTGTAATTTCTGACATTTATATCCTCTGCCATGCTGTGGTTATTTGGTGAGTCTTTTTTTCTGCCTCAAAAGGGCGTCCCGTAGAGCCAGCTGCAATTGCAAAATAAAATAAAATAAAATAAAAGTTAGCAAAAATGACATACTTTGCAAAGGAAAAACCTCTGAATTTATACACGGCACAACATCCCTTATAAAATCTCCTGCATTCAATTCCCCAGTTCAAAATAGTTTTCGCATCCTGTTCTAAATCCATAGCATATGCTAAACCAGGGGTAGGCAACCTTGGCTCTTTGATGACTCGTGGACTTCAACTCCCAGCATGGTTGGCTCAGGAATTCTGGGAGTTGAAGTCCACGAGTCATCAAAGAGCCAAGGTTGCCTACTCAACCAAAAGGATGCTTAACGTAACTCGATGGTTCCCATACCACATGAATGAAAGAAAGCCTCTTAATGCTCACCGACGCATGTTTAACCACAAAAATAATAATCCGTAAAGTAGAAAAAGCTTAGAATTTATATTTCAGTGCTTTGTATCCTCACTCAACCTTCTTAAGCCAGTGTTCTTCAAACACAGCCCCTTTTAAGACATGTGGACTTCAACTCCTAGAATTCCCCAGCCAGCCTCTGGGAGTCAAAGTCCACGAGTCATAAAAGAGCCAAGGTTGAAAAACATTGTTTTAACAAATACAGGTAGTCCCAACTAGTTGCCTAGCCACTATTCAAAGTCACAACAGACACCCTCAAAAGGTATTTATGACCGAATTTCAAAGTTCCAATGGTTGCGCCCCTGGTCACGTGATCAATCTCAAGAGGCTTGGCAGCTGGCTCAAATTTATGGCTGTTTGCAGTGTCCTGTAGTCGTATGACTGCCCTTGACGACACTTTTGCAAAAAAATAAATTTAAAAAAAAATGGCATTGACTTCTGTTTTTCACCCAAAATGGCCAATAACAAACAATGGCTCCACTTTACAGCTGCGGGTGTTGTGACTCATGTTAAGTACTGAGCATTAGGGTCCATTAGGGTCATAAGTTGAGAATTNTTTGCAGTGTCCTGTAGTCGTATGACTGCCCTTGACGACACTTTTGCAAAAAAATAAATTTAAAAAAAAATGGCATTGACTTCTGTTTTTCACCCAAAATGGCCAATAACAAACAATGGCTCCACTTTACAGCTGCGGGTGTTGTGACTCATGTTAAGTACTGAGCATTAGGGTCCATTAGGGTCATAAGTTGAGAATTACCTATACGACTAAGTTTAGCGTTTGCAGCTATTCTAAAGCCAGGGAAAAATAGAAATTGGGACCGGGAAACAGGAAACAGGAAAGAAAGCAAGGGCCTAAAAGGATGAAGCTAATGAAGTAAAAGCTGCCCAGTGTACAGAAATAAAAATACTTTTAATTCATTCAAAAAGCTCGTATGTAGCTCACAACAACTGATAACTATGCATTACCTCTAATGTTTAATTAACACGGAGTAATCTTCGGCTTGGGCTTCCCTCAGGGGAGGTGCAAGCAGACGTAAGCAAACATTATCATTACTCATTTCCAGCAATCCTTGATCTGGTTTTTAGGGACCTAAAATAATCTGCCTTAATAACATACAGCAGACATGTCAAACACAAGGTCCGGGGGCCGGATGCAGCCGCGAAGTGGTTTCATGTGGCCCGCGAAGCCATCCTGGAAACAGTGAGGGAACGGCCCCCGCTGCCTTGGCCCTGGCCCAGGCCGGCCGGGAGCCAATGTACAATTTTGTGGTGGCCCTCTATGCTGAAACACATTCAGTCTTAGCTCCACAAGGCCGTCCGGAAACAGCGAGGAACCAGACCCTGCCGCGTCGGCCCCGCCCCCTGGGTGCATGCTGGGGAGGTGTCACCCTTTGTGAGGAATGAAGAAATGGACCATGCCTTGGCGCTTGCCCCGGTCCCACCCCCTTCTGCCAGAGACCCTCAGATCTGTCCCACTCCTGCCCAGGCCCCCACAGGCACCCTTGATGCGAACAATGTAGAGCTAGCCATGCCCACCCAGTAGGCCACACCCACTCCCTCCACGCCCACCCAGTAGGCCGCACCCACCCTGGCCAGCCACCCCCCCCGAGGGCAACCGCAATGCTGATGCGGCCCTCAATGAAATTGAGTTTGACACCCCTGACACACAGGAACCTGTGTTTTGTTCGAGCATAAAGGAAGTCCTCGACTTCCAGCGGTTCGTTTAGTGACCGTTCGAAGTTACAAGGGGCAGTGAAAAAAAGTGACTTACGACCGTTTTTTCACACTTACGACCGTTGCAGCATCCCCTTGGTCATGGGATCAAAATTCAGACCCTTGGCCACTGACTCATATTTATGACGGTCACAGTGTCCCGGGGTTACGTGATTCCCCTTTTGTGACCTTCTGACAAGCAGAGTCAATGGGGGAAGCCAGATTCACTTAACAACGGTGTTACTAACTTAACAACTGCTATGATTCACTTAATAACTGTGACAAGAGAGGTCATAAAATGGGGCAAAACTGATTTAACGGCTGTCTCGTTTAGGAGCAGAAATTTTGGGGCTCAGTTGTGGTCCTAAGTCGAGGACTGCCTGTATTTGGGCATCTTTTTTGTTACGTAACGTCACTTGCCTGCTTCTCCCGAAAAGAACGCTTATTTTTCGTCCGGACGTTGTGGCTGTATCGCATCATCATGAAATTCTTCTGCTTCTTCTTCTCTTTGTTGGTGGAGCTGGCGAAAGGGTTGAGCTTTGTTCTCCTTTTCACAAACTCTTTTCTGTCGGTCTTGCCAGCCTCAAAACCACGAGGAAGAAAAGAGAGGTTAGCGATGTCACTCTTTTACGACCCGGTTCACTTGTTGTTTTGTTTTTCCCTTTTGCTTTGAAATGCACGAATGCGTTTAATTTTAAAATATGCAGCACGCCTTGCAGAAGTTAAATGAGGAAGCTCACCAATTAAATTATAGCTTCGTTGCGGAAAGGCAACATATCATAATAAGCAGCTGTTATTGGCAGAGAAGGCATGCTGCGAGTATGATTCTGCCGGAGACTTATATTGGGTGAGTCTTGGGTGGTGGGCTTTCTCTGACGCAGTGCCCACCTTAAGGGGCATTCTCCCTCCTCCCTAATAAATTAGCTTAGCTCCGCACATGATATTCTAGAACAGTGGTTCTCAACCTTTTTAATGCCGCGACCACCAACCGGTCGTAAGTCGAGGACTAAACCAGTCGTAAGTCGAGGACTAAACCGGTCGTAAGTCGAGGACTAAACTGGTCGTAAGTCAAGGACTACCCAACCGGTCGTAAGTCGAGGACTTTCCCTGCCCAGGAGCGCCGCGCATGCGTGGTTCCGCCCCCTGCGCCGGCCGAGGCATAGCTGGCAAGCGGCAGAGACGGAGCAGGCCGACCACCAACTGGCCTAGCTCAAAGGAGGTAAGGTACCCGCCGGAAAAGGGGAAAAAAATGGCAGACAGCCTTGCTTGGCGACCCCCGTGAAATGGTCGATCGACCCCAAATGGGGTCGCGACCCATAGGTTGAGAACCGCTGTTCTAGAAGTATACGATGATAAACACTGAGTCCCATGAGGAGAAGGGCGGGGTATAAATTAAATTAATAAATAAAATAAATAAATAAACCTTCTGTAGGCTAAATTATAGGATGAACAACTCAGTAGCAACAGCAATAGCACTTACACTTATATACTGCTTCACAGTGCTTTACAGCCCACTCTACGTGGTTTACAGAGTCAGCCTATTGCCCCCAACCATCTGGGTCCTCATTTTACCGATCTCGGAAGGCTGGAAGGCTGAGTCAACCGTGAGCCAATCAGGATCGAACTGCTGGCAGTGGGCAGAGTCAGCCTGCAATACTGCATTCTAACCACTGCACCACCACCAAATAGGTCTGTCTAGTCCAGGGGTGGGGAACCTTGGCTCTTTTATGACTCGTGGACTTCAACCCCCAGAATTCCCGAGCCAGCCATGCTGAGGGGAAAGGGAGAGTTTCCAAGCTGAGCCATGCTGGCTNCTGAGCCAGCATGGCTCAGATTGGAAACCTCTCCCTTTCCCCTCAGCATGGCTGGCTCAGGAATTCTGGGAGTTGAAGTCCACGAGTCATAAAAGAGCCAAGGTTGCCTACCCCTGCCCTATACCATTTCAGACAAGTGACTGTCCAGTCTCTTCTTAAAAACTTCCAGTGTTGGAGCATTCACCGCTTCTGGAGGCAGGTTGTTCCACTGGTTAATTGGTTCTAACTGTCAGGAAGTTTCTCCTTAGTTCTAGGTTGCTTCTCTCCTTGATTAGCAACGTTTTCTTTGAAAACCTTTCGCTTCTCATCCAAGGCCTGTCTTTAATTCTAACTTGTTCTGAACTTTTGAAGAAGCTTCTTGGGTGAGAAGTGAAATGGTTTCAAAGAGGAAAAAAAAAGTCAAGAAAGTCCAGTTGCCTTTTAGAACAAGCTCCTTTGGGACACCCACTTCAAAAAGCTTAAGTTTGGGATTGTAATTTCCTGGTGTGCAATCTTATTGGCCCTCCCACCCAAACTACACACCTCTGCCTTAGAGGCTTTTCACAGGAACGGGCCCATCCCTGGGGAGACAGACGGAACATCAAAACGGAGACAGCAAAAGGGCTGGCTGAGCTTTTCAAGTGGTTTTGAACGAACTGAAGCAAATGTAAATCTCGCAGGTTTACACGCACGCAACTCACCTTTGCGGTGGCTAATCTTGTCTCTTTATCAGACCGAGGCTTTTTATGGAGGTGCTCGATGTCTCTAAGTGAGAGCAGCTCCCCCCTGCAAAAGATCACAGAGATACTAACAGCCTGAGGCCAGAAAGGAAAAAAAAATATTCCTTCAAGAGGAGGAGAAACTTGAGAGCCACTTTGGGTTGTCGTTAGGTCACCAGGCTAGAACCCAACCGATCCTGAGTTCTAGTCCTTCCTTAGGCATGAAAGCGGCTGGATGACTTTAGGCCAGTCTCTTTCTCTCTCTCTTTCTCCCCCTCCCTCTCTCTTTCTCTCCCTCTCTTTCTCTCTCCGTCTCCCTCTCTCTCCCTCCCTCCTTCTTTCTCTTCTCCCTCTCCCTCTCTCTCCCTTTCTTTCTCTCTCCCTCCCTCTCTCTCCCTCCCTCCTTTCTCTCTTCCTCCGTCCCTTTCTCTCCCCCCCTTTCTCTCTCTCTCTCCCTCCCTCCCTCTCTCTCTCTCTCCCTCCCTCTCCCTTTCTCTCTCCCTCTCCCTCTCTCCCTCCCTCCCTCCTCCTTTCACTCTCCCTCCGTCCCTTTCTCTCTCCCTCCCCCCCTCCCTCTCTCTCCCTCCTCCTTTCTCTCTCCCTCCCTCCCTCTTTCTCTCTCTCTCCCTCCCTCTCTCTCTCTCTCTCTCTCTCTCTCTCTTTCTCTCTCTCTTTCTGCCTAACCTACTTCACAGGGCTGTTGAGACTAGAACTCACAGTCTCCTAGAGACTGGCCCAAAGTCACCCAGCTGGCTTTCATGCCTAAGGCGGGACTAGAACTCACAGTCTCCTAGCAACTGGCCCAAAGTCACCCAGCCGGCTTTCATGCCTAAGGCGGGACTAGAACTCACACTCTCCTAGCGACTGGCCCAAAGTCACCCAGCTGGCTTTCATGCCCGAGGCGAGACTAGAACTCAGTCTCCCAGCGACTGGCCCAAAGTCACCCAGCCGGCTTTCATGCCTAAGGTGGGACTAGAACTCACCATCTCCTAGCGACTGACCCAAAGTCACCGAGTCGGCTTTCATGCCTAAAGTGGGACTAAAACTCAGTCTCCTAGCGACTGACCCAAAGTCACCCAGCTGGCTTTCATGCCCGAGGCGAGACTAGAACTCACAATCTCCCAGCAACTGGCCCAAAGCCACCCAGCCGGCTTTCATGCCTAAGGCGGGACTAGAACTCCTAGAGACTGGCCCAAAGTCACCCAGCCGGCTTTCATGCCTAAGGTGAGACTAGAACTCACAATCTCCTAGACTCCTAGAGATTGGCCCAAAGTCACCCAGCCGGCTTTCATGCCTAAGGTGAGACTAGAATTCACAATCTCCTAGAGATTGGCCCAAAGTCACCCAGCCGGCTTTCATGCCTGAGGTGAGACTAGAACTCACAGTCTCCTAGCGACTGGCCCAAAGTCACCCAGCCGGCTTCCATGCCTAAGGCGGGAGAACTCAGTCTCCCAGCGACTGGCCCAAAGTCCCCCAGCTGGCTTTCATGCCTAAGGTGAGACTAGAACTCACAGTCTCCTAGCAACTGGCCCAAAGTCCCCCAGCTGGTTTTCATGCTTAAGGTGAGACTAGAACTCACAATCTCCTAGAGATTGGCCCAAAGTCACCCAGCCGGCTTTCATGCCTAAGGTGAGACTAGAACTCACAGTCTCCTAGCGACTGGCCCAAAGTCACCCAGCCGGCTTTCATGCCTAAAGTGAGACTAGAACTCACAGTCTCCTAGCGACTGGCCCAAAGTCACCCAGCCGGCTTTCATGCCTAAAGTGAGACTAGAATTCACAGTCTCCTAGCGACTGGCCCACAGTTACCCAGCCGGCTTTCATGCCTAAGGCGGGAGTAAAACTCACAGTCTCCTAGCAACTGACCCACAGTCACCCAGCCGGCTTTCATGCCTAAGGCGGGACTAGAACTCAGTCTCCTAGAGACTGGCCCACAGTCACCCAGCCGGCTTTCCCGCCTAAGGTTTTAAAGCAAGAAGAATGAGAGGTGGCCCATTTATTTAGAGGTCCTTCAAAAACCTGGCTATGCCCTTCCACGTCGGATTTTGCTGCCTCCCGCAACTCTCAACGCAAGGACCCCTTGCCTGCATCAGCAATTTTTTTTTACCTCGATTCTTCTTCACTGTCTATTTCTACGTTCTTCCTCTTGGCTGCCTTGCCAGGCGCAGATTTGAGTTCCTTGCTCAGCTGAGCCAGCCGGATTTTCTGGAAGTCTTCTTGAGTGAGAAGGCGGCCGCTGCTGACGGCCGTGGCCTTGGCCTTCCGTTCCTCCGCAGGCAGGCTTTCGATCTTCTCCGCCTTGGAAGGGAAGAGGCAAAACAGATGAGGCCCGGAGGACGGACGAAACCCACCCACCCCCTTCTTCACGAAGAACGACGGGCAGTCCTCGGCTTACGACTGCCAACGGAGCCCGATGTTTACGTCGCTAAGCGAGACGGCTGTTTTCAGCCCATTTTATGAGCTTTCTGGCCACGTTTGTGAAAGCGAATCACGGCACCCGGTTTTAAGCTCGTAACTCGGTCGTTAAGTGAATCTGGCTTCTGACTTTGCTTGTCAGAAAGGTCGCAAAAGGGGATCAGGTGACACCCCCCCCCCGGGGTCACTGCAACCGTCACGAATGTGAGTCAGTTGACGGGCTTCTGAATTCTGATCACGTGACCGTGGGGATGCTGCAACGGCCGTAAGTATGAAAAATGGTCATAAGTCATTTTTTTTCAGGGCCATGTGGTCACTAAAGGAGTGGTTGTTAAGTTGAGGACTACTTTGTACACTGAGAAAGCTTTGCAGCAGTGAGTCACGTTTACACACAATGAGGGATTATTTGCAAACAAGCATGACCATCATCCTAGAGCAGGGCTTTTCAACCAGTGGTACGGGTACCACCTGTGGTACATTGGCACCTGGCAGGTGGTACGCGACCATCCTAGAAAAGTGGTAGCGGGGGAGGGGAATGAGCTGAACCGGTGGCAGCACCGCACAAGCCTGAGCGAGAGACGGCTGGAGCTGCAGGGCTGTCAGGGCTCAGCAGAAGCGCCAGGATCAGTGCCGCTTTCCAGCTGATCGGCGCTTCTTCGGGGCTGTCAGGGCTCAGCGGAAGCGCCAGGATCAGCGCCAGGCTCCAGCTGGAGCTCGGCGCTGATCCTGGTGCTTCTGCTGAGCCCTGAAGAAGCACCAATCAGCTGGAAAACAGCACTGATCCTGGTGCTTCTGCTGAGCCCAGAAGAAGCGCCGATCAGCTGGAATGTTGCAGCCTTTCCAGGGTCTTGTGATTTACATTCAGATGCTTGGCAACTGATTCATATTTATGACGGTCACAGTGTCCCAGGGTCATGTGAAGTGACCAAAACCTGCTGCAACCACCCAGCAGACGGGGGGAATAAAAACCAAACACCCCCCACCCCACCCCTGCTGCCAATCCTCAACAGAAATGCTCACAACAATGAAAACCTCGGANGGGGCCTAGGAGTCGACCTCTGTCCCCCTGCCAATACAGACTGCGTACGGTCGGTGAGGAAGGAGGAGAACCACTGCATAACAGTGCCTCCCACTCCTAACTCACCGAGACGCCGCAGCATGATACCATGGTCCACAGTATCAAAAGCTGCTGAGAGGTCCAAAAGCACAAGGACAGAGGAATAACCCCTGTCCCGGGCCCTCCAGAGATCATTTACCAACGTGACCAATGCCGTTTCCGTGCTGTGTCCCGGCCTGAAGCCCGACTGGTATGGGTCTAGATATGGGTCTGGAATGCAATGGAATGGAATAGAATGGGATGGGATGAAATAGAATAGAATAGAATAGAATAGAATGGAATGGAATGGAAGGGATGGAAGGGATGGGATGGGATGGGATGGGATGGGATGGGATGGAATGGAATGGAATGGAATGGAATAGAATAGAATAGAATAGAATAGAATAGAATGGGACGGGACAGGATGGGACGGGATGGAACAGAACAGAACAGAACAGAAGGGACAGAACAGAACAAAACAGAACAGAAAATATGGAATGGAATGGAATGGAGTGGAATAGAATAGAATGGAATGGGATGGGATGAAATAGAATAGAATAGATGGGATGAGATGGGATGGGATGGAATGGAATAGAATAGAAGGAATGGGACGGGACAGGATGGGACGGGATGGGACGGAATGGAACAGAACAGAACAAAACAGAACATAATAGAAAATATGGAATGAAATGAAACAGAATAAAAATTTTATTGTCACTTTAAATGCACACTAAACAGCATACATTAAAATGATATTTTATCACGTTCAACTCTAAAAAAAAATACTATTATGCATGTACCCACATATGTACACATATATGACACAGAGAAACATCACAGTCTAATTCAAATGTATACATATACATGGGGGGGGGGGAGAAAAATCCTGCGAAACTACAAGACGGATGGCATAAGGAACAAGGCTGTTACAGAATCTACCAGTTCTGCTATAAATACTTTGAAACCTCCTCCCAGAGGGGAACAACAGGAACAGACCGTGAAGTGGTGTGTGGGGAATCTCTAACAATGCCCCGAGCTCTAAGCACATATAAATGCTTGTAAGCCGTATCCTGAATAACGGGAAGCGGGCTTCCTATAATCTTCTCGGCGGCCCTTACCACTTTACATGGACTTTCTATCTGAAGGTCTGCTACCAACCAAACCAAACATTGATGCGGTTTGTTAAAATGCTCCCAATTGTGCCTCTGTAAAAAGTAGCCAGGACGGAAGGAGAAAGATGTGCTCCAAGATGTACCAATTAGGATAACGCTTTCTGAATATGAAATGAAATTTAATCCATAAAATCTTTTGAGCTCTTATAAAAGATATGCAGATGATACCACTCTAATGGCAGAAAGTGAAGAGGAACTAAAGAGCCTCTTGATGTGGGTGAAGAAGGAGAGTGCAAAAGTGGGCTTGAAACTCAACATTAAGAAAACCAAGATCATGGCATCCGGCCCTCTCAATTCCTGGCAAATAGATGGGGAAGAAATGGAGGTAGTGACAGATTTTATCTTCCTGGGCTCCAAGATCACC